GTTTCTATACTTATGCATGTTTGTCTATGATTTATAAGTTTTCCTGTTGATGCTATAATCCTGTATACATGTCTGCAACATTCTTATAAGCAAGTAAAACCTAATTCAGCATTCCTCAAGATCTCAGTGCTTCATCTAAACAGATAACCAACAGTTGCTTGGATGAGCAAATTATTTATTTATTTATGTTATGCTAAAGACTTACTGTACAAAGCCCTCCTGCATTGAAACCGTGTTTGTGTGCTGCCTTGCTAAAAATATATGGGAAGGACAAAGCTGCTTCTAGGTCTCCCTGTCTTGTGCAGGGTTTACTGCTGCCACTACCAGTTCAGCCTGACCCCCTTAAAATATAAATACTGTAAAACCTACAAGCCTCAAAACTCTTTTGCACACAAAATAATATCTTTCTTAAGATATTATTTAAATAGTTTTTTTTTGCAATTGGTCTTGTTGGTTGACGGACACTGAGATTATTTATGGTGAAGATCACCACTAGTCCCCAGAATGCAGATTCATGTGATCTTCATGGTCATTCCCATTTATGGCAATGAACAGCCCTATATCGCGGGGGATATCATGGAGGAAATAGAAACATGGCAAGCACAGATCCATGAATTTGTCTCCGTTCACTTTTAATACCAAGATGCTGGGGATGGAAATGCTGGTGCTGCATCCTTCTTTAATCAAAAAAACTACAGCCTATCTCTACTAAAAAAACTGTCTTCATGACTGAATCATCGATTAATACTGTATTCTTACCTGTAGGACATGGAACCCTTATTAGTTCCAGCAGGTCATTGCCATTATAAACAGCATACCAATCCATAAAATCCACCCATAATGCTTGAATTGTTTAAAAAAAATGTAATTCCAGGTTATCTGGCTTCAGGTTCAGTTCAGATGATTTAGAACATGAGATATGTTCCAAAGCATTATGCTCTGTATACAACATTAGGCGGGGCACCTTCCTGTCAGGATTATTGACTCTGGCTGTCTACGTACATCGTTATTCCTCTTTTTAGTAATCTGAGCATTTTGTTGATAATGTACAGTAAGTCTGTAACAGGCCTCCCTGTTTGCAGACATGCAGCGGTCAGGTTATGGAGGGCTTCCCTGCATTACAAATAAAATATCTTTGTGCCCTGCTGTGCTGCAGGCATGCAAGAACAATCAATCGTCGGCAAAGTATTTGAATATTGTGCTTGCCAGAGGTGTCAACATGCGACATGAAGCCTTGTAAGTGGCATATACTAGGGCCTATAGATAATTATGCTCCTACTCCCACGGGTGGGTATCCACTCAGGGTAAAAGGGATGGCCAACATTTACTGTTAAGGCAAGGATTGTGAGACTTTGTAAAGACTACTTCTGCAATAAGTGGAGACTGGTATATAAATAGTTGTTTCTATCTATTGCAGTGCTGGGAGAAGGTCATCCAGTGCCCAAACTGTCCGCTCTCAGGGCTGCATGCAGCACACTGTGCGGAAACCCATGTAAGGTATGATCATAATAGAGTACACATTCTTTACCGCAGTAAAATATGGGGCTAGGTGCACTGTGTGATAGCATGCATTTAACGCAATGCCATTTTGTGAACAGATCCTCAGCGAGGCAGAGTAGATGAAGGGCTCTGACGATGGCATGAGGCTCTTTGGGCATTTGAGTGGGACAGAGAAACTCCCTCAGTCTGTGCATTTACAGACCTCCTTCTTAGAAGGGCGCCCACTGGGCTCTTCGGTGTCTCAGGTGGGCCCTTCGGGGGCTCAGGTGGGTTTTCTAGGGTCTATGGTGGGCTCTGCAGGGTGTCAGGTGTGCTGTGCAGGGTCTCTGGTATGTGCTGGGTCTCAGGTGGGCTCTGCAGGGTCTCAAGACCTCTGCTGGATCTCAGGTTGGCTCTGACGGGGTTTCAGGTGGGCCCTGCGGGGACTCAGGTGGGCTCTCCAGGGTCTATGGTGGGCTCTGCAGGGTGTCAGGTTGGCTATGCAGGGTCATTCGCAGGTGGGCTGTGCGGGGTCTCAGGTGGGCTGTGCAGGGTCTGAGGTGGGCTTTGTAGGGTCTATGGTGGGCTCTGCAGCAGTGAACGGTGGAGTGATCTCTTCTTCGGCTCGGATGTCAGAGCCAGCAAGAACAGAGCTAAAAAGGAGACGGCGCAGGCACGGGAATGTGTTCTGGAGGTAG